GGGTCCTTGAAGGTTAGTTACCAAGGTCTTTGGTACCCAAATGACCCTCTTCTTTGGGCCCACAATTGGTGTACCAATGAACTTAGCCTTCACACCATTGGCACCCTTAAAAAGCATGTAACAAGAATCAAATTTAATTGAGGATACATTAGGTAGCTTGTTCTTGTTAATCTTGCAATATTGTTCTATATGCCCAACTTGCTTGCTTCTATTGTAAAACCAACCATTGCCCTTCACAAAGCTAACTTTGGGAGTGACAAAGTCCGTCTTGCCTTTCTTGGGGATATAGCCTAATCCCTTTTTGTTGAGAGAAAACCTTTGGCTACCCAAGCACTTTAGCAAGCGGGCATCTCCACCATAGGCATTGCCTAAGGCACGAGTGAGCTCATTCACCTCCTTTTTAAGGGTCTCATTTTCCACCATTAGTGAGGTATCACAAGAGAGACCATCACTCAAAGGTGAAGTGGAAGTGGTAATGCTACAAGAAGAGTTAGTGGGAGCAACTACAATGGACTTATAAAAAGATTCACCAATAAGATCACAAGTTAGTCTCACATCACATGATACTATCACTTGCTCCTTCTTGGCTTCCTCCACTTTGACTTGCTCAATAAGAGAGGAGTGAGCCTTTTCAAGCTTAGAGTGAGCTTTGCCAAGCTTCTCATGGGCTTCCATTAGCCTCTCATGAGTGGCATTGAGCTCATCAAAGGATTGCTCAAGAAATTTTACCTTCTTGCGTGATTCTTTGCACTCCTTTCTCTTCATCTCATTGCAAGCATGCACTTGCTCACACATGTCCAAGAGTTCCTCCTTGGTGTACTTATCCTCATCATCATCATTATCATCATTCCTACAAGTATCACTTTCACATTCATCATCATCACTCACATCATATTTTACCTTGGTAGGCTTTGCCATGAGGCATGTCGATGGAGTGTCGAAGATGGAGAGCTTGTCGTTGATGGCGATGCTTGCTAGTGCTCTCTTGATAGATTTCTTGTCATCATCACTAGAGCTATCACTATCCGAAGAGCCATCACTATCCCATGTGACCACATAGCCTCCACCCTTCTTCTTCTTTTGGAAGGTCATTCTCTTCTCCTTCTTCTCCTTCTTTTCTTTCTTATCCTTTTTGAGCTTCTTCTTCTCATCCTCATCATTGTCACTATTGTAAGGACAATTTGCTACAACGTGATCGGGGCTCTTGCAATTGTAGCATCTTCTCACATATTCTTTGCTTTTGGTGTGATCTCTTCTCTTTCTTGCACCATAACCCTTCTTCTTCATGAATTTTTCCATCTTGCGGACAAAGAGAGCCATAGCTTCATCATCAATATCACTAAGATCATCATCATCACTTGATTCTTTCTTGGACTTGCCCTTGTTTTTGGATGATGATGAGCTAGCCTTGAATGCTATACTCTTCTTCTTCTTGTCTTCTTCTTCCTTCTTGTCATCCTTGTCATCCCCCTCCCTTTCCACACGGTATGTCTCTTGGGTCATGACATCACCTAGTACTTGGTTGGGGGTAATCTCCTTCAATCCTCCTCTTATGATGAGCAATCTCAACATCTCAAATCTTGGAGGTAGGCACATCAAGAACCGATGAGAGACATCATCATCCTTGATCTTCTCTCCCAATGCCTTCAAATCATTGATAATCACTTGCAAACGATGGAACATCTCCGGAATGCTCTCATCTTCCTTCATCTTGAAGCTTGTCAATTTATCCTTGAGGATATACAACTTGACACTCTTCACCGCTGGTGTGCCCTCATATGTTTCCTCCAATTTTTTCCACACCTCATTTGCTCTTTCACAATCCTTGATTTGCTCAAACACCTTGGAATCAATGGCATTGTATATGGTGTTGAGAGCCATTGTATTGCATTGCTTGTTGATCTTATCTTGGTTGGTGAGATCACGGGATCAATGATGGAATCATACTTGATCATTGATTGAACCAAGATACATCATCATCTTTCTCTTCCAATAATCATAGCATGTGCCATCAAAGAATGGTGGTTTGCCCCCCACATGGTTGAACATAACTTGAGCCATAATTTGACACCGAGGTTGTTAAGCCATTAATCAAACGGTGACCATGGCTCTAATACCATTTGAAAGGTCCTAATATGGCTAGAGGCGGGGTGAATAGCCTATTTAAAAATCTACAAATAAACTAGAGCAATTTGATTAGTATGACAAATAGCGAAATGCAAACTTGCTCTAGCTCTACAAGGGTTGCAAGCCACCTATCCAATAATTCTAGTTGCAATGATTACTAGGCACACAACTAGCAATGTTACTACTCACTAAGAGCTCTCAAATATGCTACTCTAAAGAGCTCCACTAGATGAACTTAAACTTAACAAAGCAAGCTCTCAATTCTAATTACACTAAAGAGCTTGTCACAACTAGTTTGCAAGAATATAAATGAGTGAGTAGGGTGATTATACCGTCGTGTAGAGGAGTGAACCAATCACAATATGAATACTAAATCAATCACCGGGAGAATTCCAAAGGGCAAGAGACAACCTATTTTTCTCCCAAGGTTCACGTGCTTGTCAGCACGCTAGTCCCCGTTGTGTCGACCAACACTTGGTGGTTCGGCGGCTAAGAGGTGTTGCACGAACCTTGTCCACCCAATAGGACATCGTAAGAACCTACCCACAAGTGAGGTAACTCAATGACACGAGCAATCCACTAGAGTTACCTTTCGGCATTCCGCCGGGGAAGGCACAAATCCCCTCACAATCACCGGAGATGGCCACGAACAATCACCAACTCGTGCCAATCCTCCACCGCTGCACCAAGCTATCTAGGTGGTGGCAACCACCAAGAGCAACAAGCGAATCCTGCAGCGAAACACGAATACCAAGTGCCTCTAGATGCAATCAGTCAAGAAATGCACTTGGATTCTCTCCCAATCTCACAAAGATGATGAATCAATATTGGAGATGAGTGGGAGGGCTTTGGCTAAGCTCACAAGGTTGCTATGTCAATGCAAATTGCCAAGAGAGTGAGCTTGAGCCGACCATGGGGCTTAAAAAGAAGCCCCCACGAAATAGAGCCGTTGGGCTCCTCACTGCACTGAACACGGGCCGACCGGACGCTCCGGTCATATTGACCGGACGCTGGACCTCAGCGTCTGGTCGTGCGATGTGTGCCATGTGTCATCGGCTTCAAACGTCGATCGCCCGATTTCAACGGTCAAGAGATGACCGGACGCGTCAGTTAGAAAGTGACCGAACGCTGGATCTCAGCGTCCGATCGTTTCCAGTAAGGTTCCAAACGCGACATTTCACGACCGGACGCGTCCGGTCATGCCTGACCGGACTCATCCAGCGTCCGGTCACACAACGTCTCCTCTGTGTGCCTCACGTTAGCGTACGTCAGCACTGACTGGACGCACCCTGCCAGCGTCCGGTCACTTTTAGCGCCAGCGTCCGGTCGAAGACCGAAACACGCGCTCTCTGCTGCCACTGACTAGACGCGCTGGTCCAACCGAGACCAGCGGCCGGTCACTTATAGTGACCTCCATCTTTTCTGTCTAGGGCACCGGTGGCACCGTCGGACTATCCGCACTCTACGGGCGGACACTCCACCGGTGAAGTTTCTAACCCCTACTCAAATGTGCCAACCACCAAGTGTATCACCTTGTGCACATGTGTTAGCATATTTTTCATAAACATTTTCAAGGGTGTTAGCACTCCACTAGATTCTAAATGCATATGCAATGAGTTAGACATCTAGTGGCACTTTGATAACCGCATTTCAATACGAGTTTCACCCTCTTAATAGTACGACTATCTAACCTAAATATGATCACACTCGCTAAGTGTCTTGATCACCGAAACAAAATGGCTTCTACTATTTATACCTTTGCCTTGAGCCTTTTGTTTTTCTCTTTCTTCTTTTTCAAGTTCAAGCATTTGATCATCACCATGCCATCACCATCGTCATGATCTTCGCCATTGCTTCATCACTTGGAGTAGTGCTACCTATCTCACAATCACTTTGATAAACTAGATTAGCACTTAGGGTTTCATCAATTAACCAAAACCAAACTAGAGCTTTCAATCTGATCTTGCTCTCTCTGTGCTGCGGCGGTGGGTGGGGTGAGGACGAGAGCGGTGGCTGCTGCGGCGAGTGCGAGGGCAGGGCTGTGGCTTCTAGGGCATGCCATCCTCCTCACCAGTCCCTGGCGAACGGCGGCACCACGTAGATCCGGCGATGGCGGTGGAGGAGGTGAGATCCGTGCCGGCGACGTTCAAGGCCCCTTCGTGGGCGGCGGTGGCGTCCCACCGGGCGGAGAGGGCGCGGGCGGCGAGAGTGCGCCACGCGACGCAGCGTGGTCCGGCGGCAGCCATGTCGAGGATCGACACCGTGGAGGAGGACGAGGAGGGTTGCGGCTCTACACCGGCACCGCATAGATCCAAAGAATGGCGGTGGAGGAGGCGAGATCCGGGTCCGACGACGTCGCGCTTCCCTTCGCGCGGCGGAGGTGGTCCCCGCTTGGCGGGAAAGCGCGGGCGGCGAGGCGCGCGCCATGGACGCGGCGGTCCGGGCAGCAGCCATGTCGAGGATCGACACCGTGGAGGAGGACGAGGAGGGTTGCCGGGCTCCTACACCGGCACCGCGTGTAGATCCGGCAATGGCGGTGGACGAGGCGAGATCCGGGTCCGACGGCGTCGCGCTCCTCTTCGCGGCGGAGGTGGCCGTCCCCGCTGGCGGGAGGGTGCGGGCGGCGAGGTGCGCTCGTGGACGCAGCGGTCCGGGCAGCCGCCATGGCGAGGATCGACAACGTGGAGGAGGACAAGGAGGGTTGCCGGGCTCCTACACCGGCACCGCGTAGATCTGGCGATGGCGGTGGTGGAGGCGAGATCCGGGTCTGGCGGCGTCCGCGCTCCCCTTCGCGGCGGAGGTGGCCGTCCCCGCTGGCGGGAGGGTGCGGGCGGCGAGGTGCGCTCGCGGACGCGGCGGTCCGGGCAGCAGCCATGGCGGGGATCGACACCGTGGAGGAGGACGATGAGGTGGAGCTCGGCAACGCCTGTTCCCAGCAGAGGCGGACCAGCTCCGCCGCCACCGCTGACCCCGCCTGGGTGCGGCGTGCTGCTTGCTGCCGCCTGCGTTCGGCGTGCCCGCGCTGCACCTACTCCGGCGGTGCCAGCGTCCACCCAGGGCCGGGGGAGCTACCCGCATTGGTGCTCCGACGGGTCCCAGCGGCGTCAGTGCTCCCGTTGGCGGCGGCATCGGTCGTCCCCGCTGCCAAAGGGTGCGGGCGGCGAGGTGCGCTCGTCCGCGGACGCGGCGGTCCGAGTTGGCGAAGCTGAAGAGCGGGCTCGGCAAGGTGCCCTCGTCCGCTCACGCTCACCAAGAAGCGGCGGCGTCGGCCATGAAGGAAGCAGGAGGATGGGGTAGGAGGAAGAAGTACGCCCTGGCTACCTAGGCCGCGCTCATACCCCTCGCCGTCTCCGCCCAATCCACCAGACCTGAAGCCGGCCAATTTTTGCCTCTGCTCTACACCTTGCCCTTCGCCATAAATTGAGGTATCTCGCAGACTCGCAGTAACTCTGCTTTTGCTCAGTTAGCTCTGAAGCATCTCCCGTGGCGAATTTCTGTAGCTATTCGGGAAGGGATCCACTAATTTTGCCGATTTCGTAGCATAACTGCGCACAAATCCATATCAATTATGTGACTCAAGCATGTTGCTAGCTAGCTATGCCATTCTGTCATGTTTAGCGACAACCTTGTAACCTAGATTTCTTCTGTAACGTTGATTATTTGTCAATTTGGACGTCAGGATGATCTGATACCTATTGGCAGCAAGCTGGGGATCGAGCTGTACGCTGTCGAGATCACCCCCGCTGGCGACCTCCTCGTGCTCGACTCCATCAACAGCAACATCTACAGGGTCCAGCTGCCGCTGTCACCATGTGAGCATGCTTTGCCTCCGACCAGTCCCTGCCCTTTTCAGTTTTTTCAGGTTTTAGCCTTATGTTGGACAGGATGACATGAGCAGTACAAAATATGGGAGAAAAGCGCATCAGCTGACCGAATTACTAATAGAATTTTCAAGTTGCAATACACTAGATTACTTGTCCACATGATATAGGTACCAGTTAACACAAAATTCTTGACCTTCAAATAGACCCTACACAGTTAACCCTAACAAAACTTTCACTGCCACATCACTGCTAACAGCAAATCAGGCAGCTTCATCATGCCACAACAGCACTCAACAAGAGCAGCAAATTAAGAGTGCTTTAATCCCCTATGAGCTTTTGACCTAGCCCCTGACACAGCCATACATCAAGACATTACAAGTACAAAGATGCTGCAAACACTATGTCCCTCTTGATCTTGTTGACTGCCTCCTCGAGTTTTGCTTCTAACTCGGTTTCCCCAATGGACTTGGATGACAGAATCAGCTGCTGCAGAACCTCCTCCAGCCTCCTGATGGTCCTGATCAAGCTTCCTTCAAACACTTGGATCATCTCCATGATTTGGTAGAACTTTGACCCTCTGGCCCATGAATACACCGCTTCCATTATGTCAGGTCGGAAAGAATTCACAAAACTTTCCACATCAATTTGGATCTATCATCATCAACAAGAGAAACAAAATACGAGGTTTCAGCATCATGATCCCATTCGTACATGAGGTAGCAATTTGATATGATGGTTTGGTAGCATTAACTACCTTGCATTCAAGCTGAAGGTTAGCAACCCTTCTTCCTGTCTCCTGCAGCTGGTGGAAGAGCAAATCAAGCTCCTCTCTTGGCTTCGGGGCATCCTGGAGCTTCTCCTGCCAAACAAAGCAAGAAAGCAGTGCCACCATCTGCTCTACTGTAGCATCCTTCAGAGCACCACTAAACATAAGCTCCGTCAATGTAAGCTCATCAGCTGAACTTATCTCACAGGCCACTTTGCCCTTCACTTCCACAACATCATCACTCGTAACATATCTGAAATAAAGATGTCTCTTCTTAAGAAGATGGGCTTTCACTGAGTGCAGACTTGTTTTCATTTTTTTTTGGAGACTTTGCAGACTTGTTTTCATGAACCTGCCTGTATGTGTTAGTTGCGTTGTTGGGTCATGCACTATCTTGTTGCATTCATGATTAGGCAGCCTTGTGTCAATCAAGAAAGTAATAAGAATGTGTAAATGCAGGATTCCATATGAATATGGTGTGGGTTTTGTTAGCTAGCGTTCAATTTTATACGTTACTGGTTACTGCACTGCACATAACGCTTAACAGCAATATACTTTGAGGTGCAGGCTTTCGTTGAGAAGAAGTTTGGTGGAATGGTGCCTAAGAAGCCTCTGATTTCAAAGGTATTACTATCTACTGCTGGGCGGACCAACCTTAAACATGCAGCATCAATGAGCATGGAACGAATTTGCTTACAGTAGTATAGCATCTGATGATTATTTTTTTATTTGGTGGTTTTCTTGTGCAGGATCAGGAGCGCGCCTATTTCGATTCTGCGGACTGGGTCCTTGGCAAGGTACCCAATCCTTCTCATCCATCCAGGAATAAATAAATGAGCATCTCTGCCTCTGCAAGTTTCTTGTATGCTACAGGCCCATAGATGGGCTACAGCATGCACAGATGCTACCTAGGCCCAGTTTATATGGCAAAAATTTTGGCAAAATGACACAGTAGCATTTTCGTTGTTATTTAGCAATTAGTGTCCAATCATAGTCTAATTAGGCTTAAAAGATTCGTCTCGTGGATTTCGTCTAAACTGTGTAATTAGTTTTATTTTTTATTTACATTTAATGCTTCATGCATGCGTCTAAAGATTCGATGTGACGGGGAATCTTAAAAAATTTGGCGTTTTGGAGGGGAACTAAACAGGCCCTTAGCTGTTCTCTGAACTGATGAAACCTTTGCTTGGTAGGATTATCTGATATACATAATAAAATTTTCCACATTCACACGGAAACCAGCAGCATGGTATCTTACAGAAGCAACATCAAGCGTATGCACCTAAATTTTACCCAGAAGATTTGGTTATGAGGACACAAACAAGAACACATGATAAAATTATCTTTCAAATTGACAGTGAGATTTTTAGAACTCAATACAGAACAGACAAAAATTCCTATTTTATTTAAAATCAAACCAAATTTGACACGACAGTGCAAGATGCTTCTAATTTGGTCAAAATATCCTACTAGTTATGTGCTGTGTCTGTCTTTTCACATCCAAATATCAGATGCAAACACCTACTATGTACTAATAACTCCATCCAACTATAGTAGATGAGGTAAACTGATTTCAGATCCTTTTTGTCCACAATAACATGCAAACACCTACTATGTACTAATAACTCCATCCTTTGCAGGGTTGGTCTGCTGTTTCCCTGGATGCTTGGCCCTTTGAACTAATACATGGGCATCTGATATTTGGAGTTATTGTGCTGTCTATTTAGTAAGCTATATTTTGATCAAATTAGTATATAATACATGGATGGAGTTATTAGTACATAGTAGGTGTTTGCATGTTATTGTGGACAAAAAGGATCTGAAATCAGTTTACCTCATCTACTATAAAGCCATCTGTGAAAATAGGGCGTGGCTGTTTGGCTGTAAGAACATGGTCACCTATTTGTACAACCTTAGCATAGTCGTAACTCATTACTACGAAGTATCCGGCTTCTGTGTCTATTGGACTCACTTTGTAATCATTGTCGACAATTGGCTTTCTTGGTGTGATGTGTGTAGAGGCGTCGCCTTGGTGTTGTGTGGAGGGGCTGTTCTGCTGCTGCGTGTTCTTTTCCATCTTAACTTTTGTTCCAGTGTGTGCTTCAGCATTGATTCTCGCCAGTGCATGGGAGAAATGCGGTGGGCCACCTGGTGCTGACTTCTTGACTAGTATTTGTGGTGATTCCTGTAGTTGGTATTTTTTGTTAAATTCTAAAATATCAAATCCAACATTAGACAAAGCAACTGAAGCCACATTTGCATACCCGAACTTGTGCAGATGTAGGCATAGATAACCGAACTTGCGAAGATGTAGCCATAGACGGCTGACCTTGTGCAGATGTTGGCGTAGATAGGTCAACAATACTTTGTAGTAGCTGAAGGATTTGTTGTTGTACCTGTTGTGTTTTCTGTTTTTTTTTAGAAATTGTGTTAGACAATGAAGCACGGATGGAAACCGAAAATGAGTACTCACGCTGGTTACCTTGATATCCATTTTCATTTCTGCAGTATCGTCTTCTATCTTGCTCACCCTAGCTTCCAGTCTGTTGTCCAGCCTTTTCTCTTTTCTAATCTTAGCTAACTCCTCGTTTTGTGATAATATTTTCCTATCATATTTGTGGTCTATATCCATTTTTTTTCCATTGCTAGGGCAATGTCCGTTTGGCTGTGGTTCGCCCATTCTTCAAGGAATTGCTTCTACATAAATAGGAAAGAATGAATTAGGCACACAAACGAGGTTGTGCACATAAATATGTGTGATACATACTTGTTCGTTGCTTAGACCCTCCTCGCGTGCTGGCGCTTGTTTTGACATTGATGTTTCTGTTTTTATATTTTTTTGGCTTGGTGGTCTGCTGCAGGGTGGTCTGACCAGCAGTGCGCGTCATAAGCTGGAAACAATTAATAAGATAGTTAGGATGTATGCGTATGAACAGCAGCATATTGATGGTATGTTTCGAAACTTACAGTTCCTCCATCTAGGTCGGCCTGATTAAAAGCATGCCATCGAAGACCAGCATTGTCTTTAGTCCACCTCGCCATCAGTGGTGGTTGGATTGTCTCGTAATTGATCCCGTACTTGGTGTATGCAATGACGCGCTCCCAGTACCAAAACTATTAACATAATGCAAAAAATACATAAGACCAAAAGTAAACTTTGTTTATAGGTGGTTGTAGCGTATAGAACTGACCTGCAGCAAAGTCAAATTGCCCTGTATGTTGGCTCGTTTCTTAACTATGTACTTATTACATGAGGTTAATAAATGGGTCAGAGTGAATTGGCCCCAATTGAATTTCGGAATGTCTGATACTTTTCTAACCACGGGTAGATAACTAGCTTTAACATAGGGCTTCACGGTTGGTGCTAGAATGACACCAATTGTGAACAAGACAAATATTCTTTTGAAGTTATCATCCGGAGTGCCTGATTTCATCATCATTTGTTTCAACTTGCTTATCGTGAGAAGGTGGTCTGCATCTTCATACCTCTTCATCAATTCAATGTCCACTTTTTTGTCTTCATCTTTGACCTCCTCTTGGTTTACATGTTTAAAAACATCTATGCCTTCAATCCGGAGTCCCATTATGTCCCTGACATCCTCTAGATAAATAGGAACATTCTTACCACATATAAAAAAGCATTGGTTGCTGATTTCGTATCTGTTTGCAATTTTGTCAATCATTTGTCTTCTGAGACACGTCCCTGGCATACGAAGAAGCCCCCCAAATCCCATAGACTTAATAGCATCCTTGTGGTCGCTCGATAATGCTTTTATAGCGTTTACAAAACTCATAGTTGAGTTTATTAAATGCATATATTTTTGCAGCAACCAGTTGGTCGATGATAAGTTGCTAACAATGCAAAGGCAACTTGCACAAAAATAGGAACTGGATATTGGATATTGAAATTACCTGCTTCTTGGTCCCTCCCAACACTTTTTGAGTATGAACCATGGTACCACTGTCAACTGCATCAAATGATGTGAATAAGAAATGTTAATAATGAATGCTGCAGTTGTAATCTGGTTATGTGCAAAAATAGGTTTTCACTAATTATAGAGTTTCACTGAGTCTGTTTTTATTTTCAAGGATAGCAGCAGGGCATTGGTAAATTTTCAGACTTAGTTAATCTTTTGTTAATCTTTTGACTTTATAGATTTCAGTTTGTAAAGATCAATTCTTTTGCAGATGGAATGACAGTGCAAGTAGGGATTGTTAACCTGCTACTGGAAACACATCGAGGGGCTCGCCATCAAGGAGATGCAACATGGTATTTACCTATATTTCAGCATTTTGGTGCCCTTTTACTATATTCCTTTGCATATCTTAGTTCTTGTTTGTTTGTCTTAAATTTATTCCACCATTTACAGTTCGCTGCAATGTTTGTGCCTGGAAAAAGGAATGCTAATCCTTCTAACTATCATAGCGCGGGCGTCCCAGATATCAATGGCGATGCGCTGCACGCGAGCCTGGGGCTGCCTCCCGCGCTCGCCGTCGACACAGCGCGTGTCGGGAAGCTCCAGATCACGGTAAGATAAGATGTCGCCACCCTCCCGCTTGTAACTCTCTGTATATCAGCTGCCTTGCTGTTTCTCTCTCGGGAGTCGGGGCTTATGGGCCGCATTGTTGGCAGATGCTTGCCCACGCTGCAGTCAAGTTGCCAACGTTTGATATGTTCCGGTGAATTTTGTTTCCCCCCTACTCTAGTTGTACTTCGTGGGCAGTAGAATGCGTTAATTGCGTTGAACTTGGGATTCTGACTGACAGTCGCGATAGACTGTCTTCTCAGCTAAGCAAATTAGAGTTGTACAGTCGCGGTTGTGTTAACACGATGGTTCCATGAAGTTATTCTTTGTATTAGCTCCGCATTCATGTTACATTTCCTGCACTCTGTTCAATATTGGAGTCTTATGAGCTTGATTTTCCTTTCTTCAGTTGTTGACTGAAGTTGCTTTCTAAGAAACTAATATTTGGTATCTTTTGCAGGTTCAGTTAGTGGTTCATTGAAGTGAAACTTTATTGCTATCTTCAACTGCTGGGGCCATGGCCTACGAGATTAGTGAAATCAAAAGTAATGTTTTATTTTCAATTAAGATTGTTACTTAGTAAAAGTAATCGATGTGCTTTCATTAGCCTTTCCTTTATTTCTCAAACTTGCAGGCATTAGCCTTACCTGTTTACAATTTAAAAATAAACTACCAGAACTCTCGTTCTACATTCAGCTTGTTCGGTAGGCTGGTTCGTTTCGTTGCTGGTTCGTGAAGCTGCTGGCTGGTTTGTGTGAGAGAAAAATACTGTTCCGGCTGGAAATTTACGATCGTTTACGACAAGCCACAGCCAAACGAACAGGCTGAATAGATTACTGAAAAGACTGTTGCTATCTTATAGTTTGTATTGCATACTGTCGTTTTTTTCCTGTCAGAACCTTTGGTTCACATTGAATTTGTTGAAAATCACAAAGTAACAACAACAACAACAAAGCCTGTCAGTCCCAAGCAAGTTAGGGTAAGCTAGAGTTGAAACCCACCAAGAGCCCCTAGTCACGGTTCAGGCACATCAATAGCTGCTTTCCGAGTACTCCTATTCAAACATAGATCTCTAGGTATATCCCAAGCTTTCAAAGAAAATCACAAAGTAAACCGAATTTAATTCAAAACAACATGGTAGCAGAAAGAAGGGCCTGCTAAGTTGAAAACTCTGAGCATGTACATGCTCTGTAAAATAGAGCCAGTAGCCCAGTATATCATATTTGCCATGTCTTAGCATTTGCATTCCAGTTACCAGAAAGTTGTCACTT